AAAAAAAAAGCACCGAAATAAAGCACCGAAATGTGCGCTGCTTTTCGGTCTGGTTACTACCGTTTATGTCAGAACCGGTGCCATGATGGCACCGGACACCGGTACCCATCCCTACTCAAGATGTACAAAAATGTCTCCTGGACTGACATTCAAGAGTATGTCAGCTATTTTGACTTAATAGATGAGTTTTCAATATTTTTTTGCAGATATGGGCTTCCTGAGTTAATTTTCACTCAATATGTTTAAAATGTTAACTTTGTTAATATCAACCAGAATGTAGAGGACCAGACAGAAGTACCATTTCTTTAAAAAACGTTTTCCCAGAAGGGAGTGAGCCAGCAGAACTCAGTTTCCACTCGCTGCTGTGAGACTGGAAAGCTAGAAGAGACATGCAGACACTGAGCCACTGAGAGTGACAGCAGAAGTATTTTCCACTTGGCCAAGCTTACTGCAAGTGTCACGTCAGTTTGTCTCTGTCACTGTGGTGAGAAGATGCTGTCATGATGGTTTCAGGCCAATGCAAGCATAAGTGATCATAACTGATATTTCTGCGAAATGCAAAGAGAGTAGTTGTGATGATGAATATTTACAGGCCAACCTGACGGAGTGTTTTCAGCAGGACATCTACACTATAGGAGTTAAATAAGAAATCCCAGAGAGACAATGGACCCAGCTATCACTATGAGTGCACTTTGCAATGCAGCATATGCATAAAAGACTTGTAAATTGGATAGATGGCATAGGAGATAGCTGAGCTCCATTAAGTGTGTTAGTTCAAGGAAACCATGTTTGCTTTGTCTCAAAGGTTAAAGCAGCTGCATTTAATAGGACAGGGTTCAATGCTCTATCCCAACATGACTGCAATTGCTAACAAAATTATGACCTTCAAGAACTTTAACCCCACAAGGGGTTAAATACCTGGGACTCTCCATCAGTTGTTTTAAAACTTTTCATCTTCTCAGATGAAAGGTGAAACATCTTCACAAATTAAAAAGAAGAGCAGCTGCCTTCTTGTGAAGCACTCAAGACTTTTAAAATGGACTGGTTCTCATGGAGTACTTCTCTACTTGAGCACTTTATACAACATGCATCATTCACCTGTTCATGCAAGCACCTCTTTCTACTCTGTTTTATATTTAGCATTCACAATCCAATTAACACATCACAGAGCAACTTGGTTTTCAGTGTCTTGCCCAAGGATACTTTGGCATGCAGACAAGAATCAAAC